ACAAGAAGTCTGAGGTCAATCAAGAGAGACCTCATGGCCTGGTTGAAGGATCTGGAGTGCAAATGGTATTCTCCTCTGTCTGCCAGTTGCAGGGAATAATGGAGGAAGAAACAGGGAAATCACACAGATGCCTGCAGCCTCACCTGGCTCTGAGCCTGCTGTTACCAGCAGAATTTTTGATCACAGGTCAGTTTACATGGCACCAAGCTTCCTGGCAACAGATGGAAGAAAAGGATCTTTGCTCAGGAGTTAGCAGGTAACCCAGATTTGAAGAGGGGAGGGATTAAACTGGGATCAGTAGGGATCAGTAAGCACCACAATTTCTGCTGCTTTTATTTTCCAGCCACTGAAATATTTCCAAGCATTCTGCCTATCCTCACTAGGACCCGGAGTTATCCTTTCTCATGGACCATACTGGAGGTGTGCAAACCCAACAATGTCTCCAAAACTTGCCTGGCACAGAGGGCTTCAGCCAAACCTGCCACAGGGCAAACTGCTCCTCAGACCAGGTTGCTCAGGGCGCCATCCAATACCTTGAATACTCCCAAGGATGTGAGCATGGACTTTACAACAAGGGGGACTCAAACTTACCAAGCTACAGAGTCTGAAAGGTGTAAAGAAAGGTATAGCTTTGTTCAGACTTACCTAATGCCCCATTTTCATGCATTTCTAGGCTCTGGTGAGTAGGAACAAAAACTTTGGCCTCAAGAATGATTAAATGTATTTTTCTAAGACACAGATTTGTTAAACTAAGAAACCTATTGCATGTACACGTCTCTAAATCAACCTTTCATATTGTCCCACGTTTGATGGGAATGCTTACAGATGACGGCCCCCAGGTCAGAATAAATATGAGATTCTTTACCTTGCTTTAGTTGCTGTTACCCAAGATCCTTACTTTCATGTAGAGGTTGTAGTGAGGTGGGTGTCAATCTCTTCTCCAAGAAATAAGATGAGAGGAAATGACCTCAAGTTGCACCAACAGAAGTTTAGATTATATATTAGGAAAAAATTCTTCACTGAGATTTTCTTCACTGGCTGTCAAGAATTGGAATATGCTGCCCAGGTTGTATCACCATCCCTGGAGGTATTTATAGGAGCTATGGATGTGGTGTTTAGGGACGTGGTTTAATGCTGGACATGGAAGTGCTGGGCTAATGGTTGATGACCTTAGAGGTCTTTTCCAGCCTAAATAATTCTATGATCTCCTGTGTAGATAGACATCTTCTTGAATATTGACCATCTAGACTTCTGAGAGAAATAGGCACTTTTATTTTGCCTTTTTTATGAGCCTTGTAAATTCAGAGATGAAAGGTATTTTTAAATGGTGATAATTTTTACAGCACTAAGTTGATCTCTCCTACTGTATTCTAACCCTTGAGCTGTCTCAGATTGATCAACCCTATTGTTTCCTAACTCCTCTGACCTGAATCTGTAGGGGAATTTCCATCGTATTTCAAAGGTCAAAGACACACCCTTGATTTTTCTTTGCCTTTAAAAAATAACAGAAGGTTGTGCAAAGCATTTTGACCCTCATTTCTGGTGACATGACAAAAAATGGCTGTCACTCCACCTGATACTCCTTAGCAGGGATATGTCTGCATACTTTTGTTTGTGGGAGCAGCTGCCCACTCATAGCATCTAAAACTGGGAGGTGGTTAACGTAGTTAGAAGAAGAGTGGGATCTAAAAGTAGAACCATTTCTCATCCTGGTGAACTGGATTTTGGGTTAAGAGACCAGTGCTTGTGGGAAGTCTATGGCCCTGCTTCCTTTCTGCCAAGTAGAAGGCAAGAAAGAAAACAAGTTCTCCCATAATATAGTAAGTCAAATTTCTTGAGTTAAAAGGTCTTAAAAGTCTTTTGTGCACTTAAAAAGTGCACAAAGTCTTTTTGGCTTCAAAGTGAATCCAGGAAAGCATCCTTTTCTGTAGAAAAGTCAAAATTGTGTTGTTGGGCTGGCTGGAGAATCAAAGTTTCCTTTCCAATCCATCTCCAGCTACAAATGTAGCTACAAAACAGCTACAGCTGTTGCCAGACAAACTCAAAAAGCTCAAGTGCTGCCTCTTCTTCACCACCAAGTCTCTAGTCAGGCTTTGTTTTTCCTAAGTGTTTCTTTCTGTCACCACTTTTAATTTTAATACTAAAAACATTCAACACTGTCTTCTCACAAGAATTTCTGAGAGCAGAAAATGTGCAGCGTGTGAATCTTTAACATGCAGTGATCATTCCACATAAAGCCAAGGAGAATGCCAGTGGTTCCATCATTTCCAGCCCCACCCTGTCTGGTGTAGACAATCTTTAGGATGCAAGGAAATGGTATCTCAGAGGAGACCTAGGAACTTGTTCTATGATGCAGCCTTGTTTATACATCTTCCTGGTTTCTTTTCCCCTGTTTCTGTGTGGGATTACACACACACACACACACACACAAAAAAAAAAAAAAAAAAAAAAAAAAAAAAAAAAAAAAAAAAAAAAAAAAAAAAAAAAAAAAAAAAAGGTAAATCTGTGCCTTTGTGCCTTTTCAGGGGATGGAAAAC